TTGATATGTCAAAATTCCGTACACTTAAAAATAGGTGTTCTACTGTATGGAAATTGGACCTCAACCAAAGTTGGTTAAAATGGTCTGACAAAATCTGCTTCTATACCACCTGAAACATCTGGTGAGTTTCCCAAAGGGTGGAGTACTGTATGCTCTTTTTGAATTATTTACCCCCTCAAGGCTTCTGGCATTGTGGGAATTTAAGACTCAAAATACACCCTCATGGGCAAAACATTGTTTTAAATCATTTCAAAACTGGTTGTTTTGTTAAATGTTTAGATAAAAGAAATTAAGAGGCAACAACTTAATAGTCCTGCTAGACAGTTTGCCGCCAGGTGACAGAACTTGCCTGCTTCTGACAGCCCCTCCTAGAAAGGGAACTGCCACATCTCCCGTTCCGCAGGTTCCCGCTCCAGGATCACTATCCTCTCTAGCTGATATGTCTGCTTCTCTCTGGAGGCCAGTTCAAGTGTCACCTCTGCTGCAAAGCCGTCCCAGACCCCCACGCCGAGTAAGTCAGCTCCTTACCTACGCTCCTACACGACAGGGACACATGCGTACTTCCACTCAGCATGCAGTTCCCCCATCAAGCTGTGGATGACTCGAGGTGAGCAGTCTTAACTGTTCCCCAGTTTTAGGGCTGGTCCTTGTAGAGCAATACATTTTCAAATCAATGCCAAAGCGAGCCAGAGAGCAGGGAAAGGGAAAAGAACTGGAGTCAGTCATGGAACTGCTGAGACAGGAAAAAGTCATGCAGTGCACCAGGACTGTGAGCCCTTGGAATGAATTAGAAAGATGCACAGACAACTAAGTGAAGACAAGGGTCCCCTCAAAAGTGGACAGTCTTGAATAAGCTCTGATGGCAAAAAACACAAGGGGTGCTAGTCTTACACTGGCCTCACTGAATGAAGTGCAAGCAGAAGCCAACAAAGGGGCTGAGAGGGAAGTCATTTCCAGTAGACCAGAAGGCTATATAGTGTTACAAAACAGAACAACAAAAAGAACATCCAAACAGGTTTTTTAAAACAGTACTACAGAGAGGACAAAGCCCAGCACACAGCTCAGGCGCGCTCTTTCTATACCTCACCCTAGACTCCAGCGACACATGAATCCATCGGATATGCTCACTGTTCTCCAGGAATTAACAGTGTAATAATGGAAGAGATGGTACAGAAAACACAATGTTGACATATGAAAGTAAGTGCACTAACAGGTGAGTGAACAATGAGCAGCAGAAGCAGAGGCGGGGGAGCCGGCTGGGCCCAGCAGGGGGCCTGAGGCGGGTCCTGACTCGTGCGGGGAGCCAGGTGAGGAGAGAGCGACATCCAAGCGAAGACCAAGGCGAGGAGGCTAGAGCGGCTTGGCTGAGTGGGAACGTCTGGCAGTTAATGGCCAGGAGTTCACCGGTGGCAGATGGGGCTCCAGGAAGTGCAGGGAGTTTGGAATTTATCCTGAGGACAACAGGGAACCAATCCGTGGACTTGGACAAGGAAGTACCTTTCTCCAACTTGCCTTTCTGATAGACCAAAATTTGCTAAACAATCTTCTTTTAAATAAGGTGAGATACACACTTCTGAACTTGACTGGAACAGGATTGAGCTCAGGGGCGGTTGTAACGGAGCAGTAAGATACAAGAACCTTCTCTCCCGGCCCAGCTCCTGCCCTGGCACTGTGCCAGCTCAGCCAGTTGTCCAGTCGCATGGCTCCCCGGAGGGTACATGTTCCCACAGAGGAGGATGGGGGCCAGCACTGCCACAGTGGCTGGCAGGGGTCCACTGCGGAGGCAGCCCCGCCTGTGACGCAGGGAGACGCAGACCAATCCATACTTGCGTGAACCAGGCCTCCTTGCCACGCGCTTCCAGACCCCACTCGGCAAGGTGGAGGGTCATCACTTACGAGTCCGTGTGCTCCCCCTGACCTACATACTTCTCA